ACCTGGCAGTCTTGGCTTTGTGTCACACAAAGCTCAGTTCTGCTGAACCCTGGCCACACGCTGGGACCTATGTGCCCAGCTCAAGGACTGACTGGATGAGCACATGCTGGGGGCAACTCCTGGGATCTCTTTAGCACAGAACAACAGAGGTGTCAACTGACAGAAGCAGCTGACTGAAGAAGAGAACACCCAGGAGGAGAACTTCACTTCAGGATGGAAGTGTCGCCTACCACACAGCCCAGGTGAAAGCAGCCTCGGGAGATAGCAAGAGGAGTGTGTGTGGGATAAATAGGGGTCTTCTGAGACTCCTTGGGAGACCTGAGAAGACCAGGACCTTCTCAAGACCTGCATTCCCTTGAGGGAGGCTAGGCTTTGAGGGTGAAATCAGAGGGAGTGGTCTTGAAATCTAGGGTAGTTAGTCTACTGAAATCTTCGATCTCTGGCACTGCTGCCTAAATTCAGCAGAAACTAGTGGACTGCAGTATTATGGGCTAATATATGGGTGGTCTGTTTGCAGTTAAATTATAGCCTTCTTAGATTAGAGGATTCTAGAAGTGGGTCCTAGAGTTTGGCAATACCCAGTTGTCATTTGATACCACTGATTCTGTTGAATTTTTACAAGGTAACAGTAGTGGATAACAACTGATTTTCTCTCTGTGCCAGTATCTGGAATTTCAGAGGATCAGACAATATAAAACTAATATACACACAGGAAGGATCATGGGAAAGCAAGCCAACAGAATATCCCTGAGTGCTCTCCACCCTCCTAAGACACAGCAAGGGCCACAAATGGAGAAGAAAGCAAATGCCAAGTAGCAGAAGACTACAAAAAGTTTATAGAGAAATAAAGAAACCAGAAAAGTTCAAAGAGGAAATGAACAAAAGACTCATGGTATGATCACTCAATATGCCCAAAGTGGATGTGGGCCAAATAAGTAAAAAAGGATAAGCTGACGGAAACTGTTCAAAACATGTATAACATATTCAACAAGGATATAGGAGCCTTAAAGATTTCAGGTAGAAATACCTGAAATAAAAGCTATAGAATTCATCAATTGCAGAAATTACCAATATAAAGACAGAGTGTCTAAAATTAAAGACACTGGTAAATTATGAAGAAGTACTCAAAGCAGTGCTTCCACAAAAGAAAAGACCACAGATACTAGATGACATCAAGAAGACGAATCTTGGGCCGGGGAGATAGCTCAGTAAAATAAGCACTTGCCTGGCAAGTGCAGGGGCCTGAGTTCAAACCCGGGTACCACACACACACACACACACACACACACACACAGATGAATATGAATCTTAAGGGCCAGCCAGATAGCTCATTTGATTAAAGCACTTGTTTAGGCAGGTGCAGGAATCGGGGTTCAATTTCCAGCTTGCCATGCTGGCCCTGCCCCCAGGGCACACTGAGACAGATTAAGCCCAGGCCTGTAATCCCAGTGCTTGGGAGGCCAAAGACAAGAGGATATCACTACAAGTCTGATCTGTGTAGTGAGACTCTATAGACCCTGTACTAAATAATTTTTAAAAAGATGAATCTAATCTAAGGCTTACTAAAGTTAGAGAAATGTTAGAAGATAACACAGATGGTATTACTATTCTCTTTACAGAAATCATAGTAGAACATTAACAAATATAAGAAAAAAAATATAAGTGAGGCTTACAGAATACAATATAACTATGAAGAAAAGAAATTCACTAAGGCATATCCTTATCAAATCACCAGATATCCAACAAAAAAGCAGAATTTTAAAAGTAGTAGAGAAAAACAAAACAAAAATCACATATAATGGTAAAACAATTACTGAAGACTTCTCAACACAAATCTACAAGGCCAGAAGAGCTTCGAGTGAAGTATTTCAAACCCTAAGAGAAAAAACAACTTCCAGCCCAGATTAATCCAGTAAAGCTATCCTTCAAAATAGATGTAAAAATAAGGACATTTCAAGAAAAAGACCAGTTTATGAGATTAATGACTTTGAAACCAGCACTCCAGAAAATACTCAAGAATATCCTAGAAACCATGAAACCAAAAAAGTTAAAAACCTAGATGAAATGAAAGCTCCAGGCAAGGTCAAAGGGTAAACAAGAAAATATTATCAATAGAGAAAGAATGCAATGATAGTAAATAATCTCAGTAATATTTCTCAACATTAATGAACTCAACACTCCAATATTAAATGATCCCAGTTGGTAGATTGGATTAAAAAAAAACTTAATAGGATGCTGAATTGAAGAAATTCAACTAATCTAAAAAGATATTTATAACCAAAAAGTTAAAGGATGTGAAGCAGGACCCCAAAAAGATGCAGGTAGTAATTTTAATCTCAGACAATGTAAACTTTGAGTTAAAACTGATTAGAAGAGACAAAGATTAGGACATACTGGTTAAGGGAACAATTCAACAAAAAGAGATAATGTTTGCAGACATTTATACAACAAATACTAGAGCACCTATCTTCATAAAGCAAATGCTGCTGAACACAAAATACTAAATAAATACAATCATATCAGGGGATCTTAACACCTATTCTCACAAAGAGGCAGATCAACCAAACAAAAAAATCAATAAAAATGTATCAGAGGGGGCCCGGGAGATAGCTCAGTAGAAGTGCTTGCCTGGCAAGCACAGGGTCCTGAATTCAATCCCCTTACTAGACACACACACACACACACACACACACACACACATCAGAGCTGAAGCACACCCTTAAATATATGGACTTCATGAATATCTACATAGTATTCAACCTCACTACAACAGAGTACATATTATTTTCTGAAGCACACAGTACTTTTCCCAAAACAGATCACACATTAGTCATAAACCTGATTAAATAAATATAAATGAATCAAAATCATTCCATGGGCAATGAAAATAATCACCAGAGGTAATAATCATGGGATGGACAGAAGATTCTGGAAAATAACACACCCCAATGGGTCACAGAAGAAATTTTTAAATTCCTAGAAGTTAATGACAATACCTGCACAACTCGATGAACCTCTGGGACACTTTGAAAGCAGTCCTGTGAAGGAAGTCCACCACCATCAATGTTCACATTAGAAAAACAGTGAGTTCTCAAATAAATAACCTTATAGAGAATCTTAAGATACTTGAGAAAAAATGATCCAAGCCTAAACCAAAGTTAAGGTGGGAGGGCCAGCCAGATAGCTCAGCAAAATAAACAGCCTGCTTAGGGAGGTGCAGGGACCAGGGTCTGATCCACTGGTGTGCTGTGCCAGCCCCACCCCCTGGGCATACTAAGACAATGCTTTAGCCTGGGCATGGTGGCATGTGCCTGTAATCCCAGTGCTTAGGAGGCTGAAAGCAGGAGGATCACTACAAATCCAATCTGTGCAGTGAGACCCTGTAGACCCTGTACTAAATACATGAAAAAAAAGTTAAGGTGGGAAAGAATAAAGATTTCAGTGGAAATCAATAAAATTGAGATTTAAAAAAATTAACAAAATAAAGAGATGATTCTTTGAAAGAATAAACAAAATAAGCCTTTTGCTAAACTTACCCACAGAAAAAGACTTGCATCAACATAGTCAGGAGTGAAATTACAAAGATGAGAGCAGAAATCAATGGAATTGAGACCAAAAAGGCAGAAAAAATTGAAGAACTAGTTCTTTAAAATAATAAAATACATAAGCCCTTCATCAGACTTACCAAGAAAGAAAAAAGATTTACATAAATGCAATTAGAAGAGAAAAAGATGAAATCACAACAGACACTGTCAAAATACGCAAAATACTACTTTGAAAAACTGTATTCCAAAGAAATGGTAAATTTTGAGTGGACAGATTCCTAGATTCATACAAATTATAAAAGCTAACCTAAGAAGGAACTAATCTCTCAGCCAGTGATACAGCAGCATAGCACCTGCCTAAAAAGAACAAGGTCCTGAGTTCAATTCTCATTACCAAAAAAAAAGTTAATCCTCCAAATTGCTGGAAAATCCAACAACAAGCAATGACATAGAGACAGTAATAAAGAATTTACCAACTAAATAAAGGCCCACATAAGTGGACATACTGTTGGACATACTGTTGAATTCTACAAAACCTTCAAGGATGTTACACAATCTATACTCAAGCTTTTCAAAGAAACTAAGAGGGTCAGATACTCCCAAATTCATTAGTGTAAGCCAGCATCACTCTGATCCAAAACAAGAAAAAGACCTAACTGAAAACAAACCACTACAGGCTAATTTCCTTAATGAACACAGATGTAAAAATCCTCAACAAGATATTAGCAAGTAGAATTTAACATATCATCAAAAAAGATCATCATCACCAAGTAGGCTTTATCCCAGAGGCAAGGATGGATCAAATTGCTTAAGTAAATAAATGTAATACATCAAGGAAACAGAAACAATACCAAAACCCATAAAATCATGTGGACAGATGTAGAAAAGGCTTTCAACAAAATCTAACACTCTTTTATAATAAAATAGGTATACAAAACCAATACATGAGTTTGATAAAAGCTATTTATGACAAGCCAACAACAAATTGAAAGCATTCCCCTTAAAATCAGGGGAAAGACATGAATGCACACTATCATGACTTCTGTTCAACATAGTATTTGAAACACTAGGCAGAGTAATCAGGCAAGAGAAAGACATAAAAGGGGAAAGTATAGGAAAGGATAAACTCAAATTATTTGCAGATGACGTGATATTGTACATGGAAGACCCAAAGAACTCTACCAAGAAATTGAAAATTAATAAAGTTGCTGAAGCAACTTCAGCAACGTGGCAGGGTATGAAATCAACATACAGAAATCATTAACATTTGTGTACACTAATAATAGATGCACTACAAAGGAAATTATGAGAACAATACCATTTGTGATAGCATCAAGAAAAATTAAATACTTAGGAATTAAACAAACCAATAAAGTAAAAAACTTCTTCAAAAGGAGCATTGAAAAAGGAGTTTGAAGAGGACACTAACCTAAGAAGAAACTAATCTCTTTGCCAGTGATACAGCTTAGCAGCACAGAACCTGCCTGAATACCTGCACAACTCAATGAACCTCTGGGACACTTTGAAAGCAGTCCTATGTAAAGTTTTCCTCTACTTTGGAGTAGGCAGAACCAACATTGTCAAAATGGCCATACGCCCAAAACTTATAAAAATCTAATGTAATCTCAAAGAAAATACCAATGGCATACTTTCCAGATTTAGATAAAACACTCTTGAAATTTATATGGGAACAGAAGAGACCCAGAATAGCAAAAGCTCATCCTTGGACAACAAGAACAATGCAGGAAACATCACAATACCTGACTTAAAGCTGTATTACAAAGCAACAAGTGTTAAAAACTGCATGGTACTGAAACAAAAACAAACATGCAGATCAGTGGAACAGAACAGAAGATACAGAAACATCCCCAGACACAGTTATTTGATCTTTGACAAAGGGGCCAAAAGCATACATTGGAGGAAGGAAAGGCAGCCTCTAAACAAATGATGCTGGAAAAACAGGCTGTTTACAGAAAACTGAAACCGGGCTTATTTTTCTCACTGGGAATAAATTAAAATAAAAATGATCAAAGATCCAAACACTGAAACAGAGAAGTTGAAACTACTACTTTTCAAAGAACTAATATCTAGAATATAAAGAAGTTGGCCACACAAATAAAAGAACCAATCAAAATGTGATCATGGGATATCAACAGACACTTCACAAAAGAAGTTAAATAGCCAACAAATACATGAAAAAAAAAAAAATGCATTTTCAACATCCTGGCCACTGAGCTGGGGAGATAGCTCAGTGGTGTAAGTGCCTGCCTGGCAAGTGCAAGGTCCCAAGTTCAATCCCCAGTACCAAAAAAAAAAAAAAGAAAGAAAGAAGAAAGAAAGAAAGAAAGAAAGAAAGAAAGAAAGAAGAAAAGAAAAGAAAATCCTGGCCATTGAAAAATACACATTAAAACAACACTAAGGGGGCTGGAG